TTAACGCCGCACTCAGCAATATTATATTTTATTGATGAACTGGACGCAATGTTCAGATCAATATTGACTTCCGGTCAACAACATGGTTTTAACATGGATTGCTGTTGATGGGTTGGTTGGTTTGTTGTTTAATGCCGCACTCAGCAATATTATATTTTATTGATGAACTGGACGCAATGTTCAGATCAATATTGACTTCCGGTCAACAACATGGGTTTAACATGGATTGCTGTTGATTGGTTGGTTGGTTGGTTGTTTAACGCCGCACTCAGCAATATTCCAGCTATATGACGGCGGTCTGGACCAGACAATCCAGTGATTCATGTCATGAGCATCGATCCATGCAATTGGAATTGATGACATGCATCAACTAAGTCAGCGAGCCAGACCACCCGATCCCTTAGTCGCCTTTTACGATAAGCATAGTCACCTTTTACGGCAAGCATGGGTTGCTGAAGACCTATTCTACCCCGGATCTTCACGGGTCATGTTCAATCATACATCTGTCAATATTTTAACGAATTTGTCCATACTACATGTCCTGACCTCTACCATTTAAGATGTGTATATTGACCTTTTTCACACTTCGCTACTTCCGGTTTGAAAGCGAGGCTTGGAGAGCAGAAGGTGAAGGCTGGATAGCACATGAAACACATGGAGATGTCAACAAGACACGCAATCGGGACAAACTGTGACAATTTAACCATCCCGGTACATTTATCATAAGTATTGAACATTATTCTTATTCTTATCATTGACAAACTATTCTACTGTTATCTGGTCTCCTTACCGATATAAATTTGAGTCGTTCTGTTGTGATTTCAATTTAAAATATCCATGACCATCTGGTAACTCCCAGTACAGTTTATGGTAGCTGAACAGACTTAATACAAATGCTACTGAGATCTTGTTAAAGAATAATTCATTGTTTACCCACCATTAAGCCAAACTATTTATTGTTAGTTTAAATAACTTTGCGGTCGAAATATTGACATTTTGACCATATCTAGATATGTCAGAAACTAACTTAATTGATATGCTGATATAATGTATCAAATTGTAACCTACTGAGAATTTCCAATCGTAACAAATCAGAATTTTGCATCAGTTGCGTATTTGATGTAAATTGTAATGGACTCAAATGCATTCAAATAAAATATCAGACCTCTAGGTCTACTTGTGCTGTTGTGATTGTGAACAAGTACAGTTTTTTTTTTTATTGTCAATGTTGACAGATTAGATAGCATGAGGTGTAATATTTGAACTGAATTATTACATAAAGGGTGTGTAAATATTTGAAGTAAAGTACAGTTTGATCTGCAATTTTGTAAACAATATTTCTACCAAAATGATATTTACTTTACTGTACCAAATTAATCATGTCATGAAATGAACAAAAACACAACTAATTAATGGCCAGTAAATGTTCAATCTACATGTGATCTATATATAGTTTACAGAAACAGATAACTCTTTAACAGTCTGTATTCAAAAGTTTCAAATGCATAAATTGATATTGACATTACTATAAACTTAAAGTATAAACAGAATTAGTTTTACTTCCCTTGCATATTGCAATCATAACTCATTTATTCACTTTGTTTAATTGTGAAGCCCATCTGTTTTTTTGTCCACAAACATGTTTTGAAACTTTTAAAACAAAATAATTTTTTCGTGCAAGCAATTGCCATGTATTATTGATTATTAATCATATCAATTTATATGTAAGAACATAGTTGTGCTTAATGTCATTTTGCAATAATTATTTTGTTATGATGTAATAGTTTACTATTGTTAACAATATTTAGAATTTTAGTTTATTTCAGTCAAGTCAGGTGAATATGCATTGTTTATGAAAAAAATTATGGAAGTAGAACTATTATTACAATATTATTGAATTCTTCATTTCAGGCTTTGGGTCCAGAGAGTCAACACAATGAAGTACTAGTATCCGGTGATGGATGTCTGGTGGAGCTTTCTGCTGACAATAACACAATGGTTACAATGTGCATCCTGTCAAAGGACGAGGAAGTGAAAAGCCTTATTCACTCACACATTGTACCATTTGTTTACAAGCAAGAAAATTATTTTTAATTTGAAGTTTCCTTCCTTCGCTGTTCTACCCTGGATCTTCACGGGTCGCGCAGCTTATAGCTACATTACGATAAGCGAGCATTGTAACCAGACTTGTTCAGTTTAGAATCACCATCGTTCTCGCTCATTGTCAAAACGTTTCAGTGAACCAAGCATCAGATGAAATGTATTTGGTACTACTTTGATTGAGCATATAATATAGTTCTCAATATAGTTAAATGTAATTCTGTCTAATACATGACAAGGTATGGTGATCGAAAACCGAACGAATTAGCAATATGGTTGCCCTCAAATCAGTGTATATTTCATTCAAATGAAAAATACAAAGATGTATTGAGTGGTGATGATGGAATGATAAGACAAATATGACATGACATTCAATTTGTTTTGTTTGTTAGTTGTTTAACGCCGCACTCTGCGACATTCCATGCGATGTATGACGGCGGTCTGTAAATAATCGAATCTGGACCAGACAATCCAGGGATCGACATCATGAGCAAGTGGGATACGATGACATGCATCAACCAAGTCAGCGAGCCTGACCACCCGATGCCGTTAGTCGGCTTTTACGACAAGCATAGTCGCTTTTGACGGCAAGCATGGGTTGCTGAAGACCTATTCTATCCCGGATCTTCATGGGTCCATGACATTCAAGGGAACATGTTGGCGTAGCATTGTTAGGATGCAAACAGCCAAGAAAGACGGCAGGGGTGTGTAGTCAAACAATGACCATTTGAGATGACTTCCTACGATTGGTCAAACATTCTATTTTACGGCGTGGTCGTTATCAATTTCCCAATGACGGTAAACAGGATACTTTTCCACTCCTCTTGGAGCGACAGGTCCAGTTCGGCTACCGTATGCCTTTGATGTCGGCGTAGAAATCTCCCTATCATGTCCAAGGTGGGCTCTTTTGGGGAAATGTCAGTTCTCTGCATTCTCGTGATGTGATGTGCCAGAAATCTATGAATGGGGGTTCAACTCCAATATTTGTCCTGAATATTGTTCGATGTTTTTCAGCACAATTCCCGATCTCGTGGGCATCACGTCTAAGACCTGCATCAATTCCGACTTTCGTCCCATATTAAGCTGACACGCCGTCGTATAACTTTAATACTGTTCAAAGCGGCGTTAAACCCAGCTCCCTCACTCACTCAGTCTTTATCTCCTCAGTCATGAGTTTGGGGTTAAATGATTTTTTATTTGATTGTTTGTTGTTTAACGCCGCACTCAGCAACATTCCACCTGTATGATGGCGGCCTGTAAATAATCGAGTCTAGACCAGACAGTCCAGTCATTGATATCATGAACACCGATCCACGCAATTGGGATCGATGACATGTATCAACCAAGTCAGCGAGCCCTACCACCCGATCCAGTTAGTCGCCTCTTACGACAAGCATAGTCGCCTGTTACAGCAAGAATGGGTTGCCGAAGACCTATTCTATCATCATGATGGGTCTTCAGATATGTACCCAAGATACTTTTCTGTTAGAAATGTCCAAAAAGATTCCTTAGGAGAAAGTGTATATCATCTTTTAATGATTTGCTTATTTTCATTACATCTTCGATATATGTTTATTTGTGATTGTTTGTACAATCTGTTTATAATGTTGTTCAAATAGAGAGCACAATTTCTTGGAAATATATTTCTCGATTATTTACAGACCGCCGTCATATAGCTGGAATATTGCTGAGTGCGGCGTTAATCAACCAACAAACAAAACATAACATAATATATTAATCGAACCCGGTTTTCGCTGGACGAGCGAACGCCTTAACATTTAGGCTACCACACCACCTGAATACATTTAGGTCTTTGAAAGGCATTTAGAAGTGATACACATAAGGAAGGGAATATATGGATGTCAACTTACTTCTTTATTATGAGGAACAGAACGTTTCGGAATATATGCTTACTCCTTCATCAGGTGAATGAATGCCGGTGCGGTCGGGTAGCCTAGTGGTTAAAGCGTTTTCTCGTCTCGTCTAAGACCCGGGTTCGATTCCCGACATGGGTACAATGTGTGAAGCCCATTTCTGGTGTCCCCGCCGCGGTATTGCTGGAATATTGCTAAAAGCGGCGTAAAACCATACTCACTCACTGAATGAATGCCATGAGGCAGTTTGCCGAATGTCCATTACCTATTACTAATCTACGATACTTAAGTACTGGTTTCCAGTCACCCGATGAAGGAATAAGCATACACTCCAAAACGTTATGTTCCTCATCATAAAGAAGTTGACATCCATATATTCTCTACCTTATGAATACACCTAGTACAAGAAAAGGAAGCAAAGCTGGTTACGTCCTGGCACAAGTGACCCGTGAAGATCCGGGGTAGAATAGGTCTTCAGCAACCCATGCTTGCCGTAAAATGCGACTAACAGGATCGGGTGGTCAGGATCGCTGACTTGGTTGATGCATGTCATCATATCCCAATTACGTTGATCGATCCTCATGATATCAATCACTGGATTGTCTGGTCCAGACTCGATTATTCACAGACCGCTGTCATATTCAGTTGCCTGTTCGCAGTGATTGTATGGTCTGCAAAAAGTGATAAGGTTCCTTTTCCGCATTTAATTCTTCACGCAAGCTGCACTTCGCCATTCTGACCACATACGGAAATCTAGACTCAAAAACAAACCAGATTCAATGATGTATCTCGATCGCCTCCTTGTTAAAGCAAGTTCTCGACTAGATTATATTTCTCTACTTGAATGTCCTATATTTTTATCCATGCGGTTAAATAAAATTCGAAAGTAACTCAAATAACTCTAAGAATTGTAAGCGTTGATAAACCTTTATGTCCATTGAGTGAACGCAACGCAAAACGTAGATACAGGAAGAAATATTAGCGTGCGCCAACACTTCCACTCAGCACCAGGATGTCGAGTGGGTATCCGGGAGTGTGATGCTATATACTGTGTGGTAACGGTAGACTGGGCAGTCCCTTCGTCTGCAGCCAGGCACGTGTTACCTTCAATATGGGGAGAACAGTAGTGTTTGGAATCACTTTCTTCATTTTGCGTAAGTAACACCTGATTGATTGTTGTTTAATGCCGCTAACATCAATGTTTTAACTTCATTATTCATTCAGATTAATTTATTAACTCAAAACCACTACTATATACAACTGACCTGTGAAGATCCAAGTTAGAATTGGCCTTCAGCAAACCATGCTTGTCGTATCGGTACCGGGTGATTAGGCTGGCTGACTTGGTTGATCCGTGTCATCGTATCCCAGTTAAGTAAGGATAGGAATTTATGGATGAACACCTTCTTTATTACAATTAAGAACTCTTAATTGTAATAAAGAAGTTGTTCATCCATAAATTCTTATCCTTACTTAGTACTCCAACTTCTCAATGCCTATCAAAGAACGTACCCCAGTTACGTAGATCGGTGTTCATCATTATACTAATCACTGGATTGTCTGGTCCACACACACACACACACACACACACACACACATACACTGCAGGATGAAGGGTCTTAGATCTCATTCATTTGTATATTGGTGCTCCGTCAGTATCGACCACTTCACTGACGTTCATTTAGGAATGTCTCAAGATAAATTAGGAAAGGTAATGAGGAAAAATACCAGTATACCCCAGTAAAGGTTCTGATACCTTTATATTTGAATTCATGTTGTTTACCTGTGTAAAAATATACCGTTAATACCATGTTCATGATCAAGTAGGTTCTTCCACAGATTACCAAGGTTTTTATGAAGTCAATAAATGCGCAATATAGTTTTCTTTTAGATTTTTCAAGTAAGTGCATCAGTGTATAAATATTAAAGATAGCATCACTTATTGATGATTGTTTTCTGCTTGCAATTGCATTCTAAGAGCTGATCGTGTCTTCGTAAAAAGTTCGCCAAAATAGCTCTGAATTGTAATAGGTCTATATATCGAGGACCTGTCCTCTCTTCTTATGAACTGTGCCATCAAGACTTGCTTCTGGAAGTACTGCGGAAGATAAAAGAAGGTTTAATAATTAAATGGACACAATAAGCTATCACATTCAATCAAATATTCATTTTTAATACATTGTACAATCGATACCTCTGCTCTGTGGCGTTTTTGTTAATTGCAAAAAAATCACATTGATGTCGTGTTTGAGGATGACGTTAATATAAGGACTATAATGTGCATATCTTTGAAAGGCATTTAGAAATGATACACATAAGGAAGAGAATATATGGATGTCAACTTCTTATTATGAGGAACACAACGTTTCGGAGTATATGCATATGCTTACTCCAACAGGTGAATAAATGCCATACTTACTTAGTTACTTTGGAGATTTAACATGTGCTTTCCGACTGATGCGTATTTCGCACACGGGCCCGGCCAGGCCATTTAATGTGTTTCCGAAAGGGGCGAAAGTGGTCTGTGCAACCCAAGAGGGGGGTTTTAGGGGTTGCTTATATAGAATTTGGGAATTTGGAGATTTGGAATAGATGCCGATGGGTTTGGGGAGGAGAACTAAGGGAGCTGGGTATGGTGGATGTTTTGTTTGTTTATGTGATTTTGATTTGGTAGGTTATTGTGTTTTTAGATGCGTTTTATTAGTTCCGTTTTTATTAAGAATACGCCTAAGGCCTTGAAGTTTTCTAGTTTATTTTGTGGGTTTAGTATTGCTTCTAGAGTTAGAGCCTTGTTTAGATTGAGGGTGGTTTGTAATGCGGTTCGATGTGTTAGGTAGTGTGTGCAGTGGATGAGTGCGTGTTCTGGGGTTTCTGGTTGTTTGCAGTGTGGGCAGTTACCTGTAGTGTGTTTTTTAAAAAAAATTAGGTGGTTATTTAGGTTGGTGTGTCCTGTTTGGAGTTTAGTGATTACTCTGTCGATTTTTATGGATGGATGGAGAATTTTTGGTTTGGTTAGTGGTTTGCTGAGCACTTTTTTGATTTGGCTATTTGAGTTTAGATATGGGTTATGCCATTTTTGTGATTTTTTGCTTGTTTACACTTTTAATTTCTGATTTTGAGATGGGTAAGTTTAAGCTTATTTCTGGGATTTTGAGGGATAGTTTAGCTGCTTTATCGGCGTTTTCATTACCGTATATTCCTACGTGGGCGGGTATCCACAAGAAGGTTATTTGTTTGCCTGCCTTAGTTAGGTCGTTGGAGCTTTTAAGTATTTGATTTATTAATTTAGGTCGGTTTTTGGTATTTTTGATTTGGAGGGCTGGCAGTCAACTTAGTGAGTCTAAAAGGCAGTGGATTCTATCGTTCATTACACATTCAACGAAAAAAACACAAGACAAATGCCACGTTTAACAGCAGCGGAGCGAGAGAGAGCCGTGGGAATGTCCCAAGTGGGGGCGTCGAACAGTCACATCGCAAGGACCCTTGGCTGCACCAGGCAAACCATTATCAGACTCCTTCGTCGTGTCAACCAGACTGGCCAGACATCCGACCGCCCAAGAAGAGGAAGACCGAGAGTGACGACCCCTGCAGAAGACCGGTACATACGCACATTACACCTGCGCAACAGGTTCCTCACCATGGCATCAACAGCGTCGACAGCGTTAGGTCACCACATCAGCAGGAACACAGTCATGAGACGACTACGAGCTGCCGGTATCCGGGCTTATCGACCATTCCGTGGGATGACCTTGACCGCTCAACACCGTATCAGCCGTCTTCGCTGGGCAAGAAGAGTCAGACGCTGGCAACGTCATGACTGGTCACGAGTCCTCTTTACCGATGAAAGTCGATTCAACCTCTACCATGCTGACGGTAGAGTGAGAGTCTACCGACGTAGAGGCGAGCGACTGGCTGGAGCATGTGTCCAACAAGTTCATCCTTTTGGCGGAGGCAGCGTTTTGGTTTGGGGAGGCATTTGCGGCGAACAGAAGACGGATTTGGTCATTCTCCACCAGACCCTGACAGCCCAGAGGTACAGGGACCAAGTGTTACAGCCGGTGGTGATCCCCTTCATGCAGGGGCAAAGGCAGGGGTTTCTTTTTCAGCAAGATAACGCCCGACCACACACCGCTAGACTCACTATGGACTTCCTGAACCGTCAGAACATTCAGCTTTTGCCTTGGCCGTCACGCTCTCCGGACTTGTCACCCATTGAACACCTGTGGGACCATCTCGGTAGACAGTTGCGACGACGTGCACAGCCACCAACCACCATACCACAGCTGGAACAGGCTCTGCGAGAAGAGTGGCAGCGGATCCCTAATGACGTCATCCGACGGTGTGTCCTGGCTTGCATTAACTCAAATGGGGGTCATACGAGGTACTGAGACCACTCGCATGGCCTTCATACCTGGGACTGTCATCATTTCTACAAGTGTGATTTTTGATGAGTGACCGCCTATGGACGTTATTGTCAACTGAAAAGTTTTATGTGGCCACAAATCTTTAAATCCATTCTAAACATGTTTGAAAATGACTCAACAATGACATTAAACATTACAATCACAATAAAGTTTGCCCTGTCTTCTTTTACTGTCAGAATAGTGGGGTGTGTACTTTCTTTTGTACTTCTGTTTATTAGGATTTTGTTTTGTTTTTTGGATTCTTGATTATGGAGGGCTGAGACCATGCCCATTAGTTCTGCCGTGAATATTGATTGGTTGTTTGGGAGTCGGAAGGATTGTGTGGTTTTAGTTGGTTGTGTGGTATGGACTCCGAAACCTGTGTGTTTGGAGGTCGGATCTGAGGATCCGTCCGTGTAAATGTGACACCAATTTGGCCAATTTTCGTGTATGTATGCTAGTGTGGTAGTTTTAGCTATGTTTGGGTCGGTTTGTTTATTTATTTGGCTAGCTAGTGTTGTGTCTATTTTGGGTATTTTAAGTTTAGGGGTGAAGATATTTGATTGTTTGCAGTTTTGTTTAAGATTTTTAATTTGGTGTTCATTTAGGTAGTTTGTTATTCTTTGGGATATTGGGGTAAGTAAGGGGTGTTTACGAGCTAGAGCTTGGTTTTTTGGGCTGATGTTTTGGTTTATTAAGTTTTGGATGAGAGGGTTTGATTGGGCCGCGGCCCAGAAAATTAAGCTTAGCTGTTCCCTGCGTAGACTTAGTGGCATTTCTCCTGTTAAGGCCTGAAGTGAGGTATAGGAGGTGCCATGTTGGTGCGTGTAATTAGTTTGAGAGCCTGATATTGTATTGAGTCAAGTTTTTTAGATAGAGAGTTGTTTAGGGTGTTGTATATGGCGCAGCCATAGTCTAGTTTTGATCTAATTAGTGATATGTAGAGAGAGGGGAGGGTATCTTTGGATGCTCCCCAGTTAGAGCCAGTTAGCCATCTCAGGGTGTTTAGGTCTTTACTGCATTTAGTTGTTAGGTTTTGGATGTGAGCATCCCAGGTGAGATGTTCATTGAAAATAAGTCCTAAGAATTTGGTTTGTTTTTGAAATTTGATTGTTTGATTGTTTAGCTGGAGGATTGGGGAGGCGGGTTTCATGTTTTTATGTTTGAATACTATTCCTGTTGTTTTTTCTGAGTTAAGGGAGAAGCACCATTTGTCAGCCCATTGTTGTATTTTATTAAGAGATTTTTGGAGTAAATTTTGGACCATGTTCATGCTTTTAGTGCGGATCCAGATGGCTCCATCATCAGCGAATTGTGATGTTTTTACTTTAGGGGATAGGCCCTCGAATAGATCGTTTATCATTATATTGAAGAGGGTGGGGCTGAGGATACTGCCCTGTGGAGTACGATTTTCTAGGGGACATTGGTCCGATAGAGTTTGGTCTATACCCACGGTTATTTTACGATTGTTTAGGAAGTCCTGGATGTAGTTTATTATCTGACCTTTGAGTCCTATTTTTTTAAGTTTTTGTATTAGCCCATCGTGCCATACCATGTCGAAAGCTTTAGAGAAGTCTAAGAAGATGCCTGTGGTATATTGTTTATTTAGTTGTCCTGTCTTAATATCTTGTTCTAGTCGGGCGAGGTTATCTAGGGTTGAGCGGCCAGGAGTGAAACCGCTTTGATCTGGGTTTATGATGTTATTTTGGGTTAAGTAATGTTGTAATCTATTTTTAGCCATTGATTCCATT